AAAGGTATGACTATGTGATGAAAACGATTATGACAAATTTAGTGTAAATTTCAAACTGTGAAATCGATTGATATGGCACTTGACTAGTTTTCCAGTTTTCAGACTGAATCCGATTTATAACATTTCAAAATATACGTGATTATGAGGAAGAGAATAATGTAACACTGAGAAGAACCATTTAGGTAACGGACCGAAAATACGTTGAACATTGAAAAGACAGACAAGACAAAACTGTGAAACGGTTACTGTGATTAATTTAGGTTAAATCATTTGCATCTGTCAATCTTTAGTATCTACTATATAGCTCTCAAGCAACCCTTAGTTTTCACACTAATTTCACGGTTAATAAATTACGTTTAACTACCTTTCCTATTCCGTTTACATTCAATCCCATTTTTATCGTCAGCTTGTTTGCATTAATTTAGCTCACTGAGAGTGATCTTTCAGTAACTTTAAAACTGATAAGTATTTGGAACAGAAATCATTAATTTCGTCCGAAGTATTTTTTAACTATCATTTTCATTGACCAAATAAGTCGTGTTACGGTAGAAATATTGGGTTCGACAAGAAAATATAATAGCTTGTAAAGTGAGATGGAATCAGAAATATTCATCTTTTGAGTAGTAGCCGATATATTGCTATCTAGTCTATAGTTATGAACACTAAATTAAAGTACTGAACATAGCGATGTAGACTCCTGGTGTCTGGAGGTTCAAAGCAGTCATCAGAACGACTTACACACATTCTATGTTTTTTTGGGATTCATCTGCACGACGTTTTTAAAAAATCAAGGGGATGTTTCCGGTGTGTAGAAATAAGAAATTAGTCTTCAGCCTGTAGATTTAAAACCACAGTTTAATATCCTGTACAAGAATTATATTGATTGATGGAAAATCAAATTCTCACTCCACTCTGACAGAGTCAGCCTATCAGTTGAACTGTTTTTGGTGTAAGACGCTATGAGATGCCTGTCTTATGCGCATATAATTTATTCCAATATAAGTGGTCGGAATTCCAGTTTTTGGTTCACAACCAACTCAAGTAAAATTGATACATCGAAAAATCATAGAGAACTGTCCTTAAAATTCACATCTGAAATTGTTCTGAACACCACCATTGCTGTCTTTTAGGCCGGTCCAATATCACGTGACTTATTAGCCAGTCGGAATACGACCTATACAATCTTATTACTGTGCCAAACCAATGACGTACAGACCGGCATGAGCAGCCTATCGTCCTTATTCCTCCTTTTCCCTCCTGCCCTGCCAGTTGGGAACAGAACACCAATATCAGCTCACACCATACGAATCATTTATTTCAAATATATCTGGTTTATATACAAGCCCAAGGATCATATCACACAATAAAATAGGAAATAACATTTGGACAAGATCAAACCCAAAAGTGGCTGTGACTGTGGGAGACGGTAAGTAATGAACTGAGTATAATTTAAGAACAGTAAATCGTATCATAATAGTCGATAAGTCAAAACAAAGCTGATATTAAGAGGCTTTTCTTCGTTAACCTCTTACCCCTGTAACCGTTATTATATAAATTTCAACGGTGTTTGAAATCAAAAGGTAATGAGAAGCAGCAACTGCAGTTTTTTAGATGATAGCGCAAATCACAAAGCTATAAGCATGTCAGGCGAATTTGAAGCATGTATACATGCATATTCTAGCGATTACATAGACAAATTTGTGATCGAATCGCATAAGGGCACAGCAAGGCAAAGCAAAAGCTGATAATAAGATTTGAGTGCATATATACATGCAGAGGAGGATGAATCATCGAGTGATATTTAAAAGACCAACATTTTAGCTAAAGTCTGTCATGTAATTTAGTGATCATAACGGTAAAAAAGAATTATGCGGATTGTTACTGTACTAATAACATTGTCTATTAAGTTAGTAAAATGACTTAACCAAAATTAGCCATAATCGAAGTTGGTTGTGGGCTAGTTGCTATAATTTAATCTTCACTAGGACATAACAGTCATGTATTCTGAGACAATTAATCATCGACAAATTTCTCATCGTCACAAATAACACAAAAATTCAGAATAACTTTAACTACCTGCCTCAAGTAAATCTTATTAAGGTAATTTGTAATAGGGTCATTTGATCGAATCGTTTTATCTACCAAAAATCAACATGGAAAACAAATTTACACTCACCTATTATTTGGTAAAAAAAAAAGAGTTATAAACCATTGTTTTCTATTTGGTGAATGATAATTCTTTTCGAAAGTAATCAGTATTTGTTACCTAACAAAAGAGTCTCACAGGTTTCTGTTATGATTTGTTATTCACTTGAATGCTATTACTGATGCGTCTTACTCAACGAACGAAGGATCAGTGACTCAGCGACTCGATAGCTATTCTGGTTCGTTGTCCCCCAACTCTGCTAACTCGATCAAGAAGTCTGGGTAAGGTGTAAAAGTGTATTCTGCAGACACACAGCAGCTAACAAGTCAAGTCAAACACACAACTCACGCGTATTTATACAATATTTACAATCGATATTGTCATAGAAAAATTTTAAACACATTTAATCGATAGTTCATCAATTGACCTATTTGCACATCTAATTGATAGGTTCATAAACTGACTGCTATACAAACATTTAATCGATCAGTTCATCAATTGACCCCAATGCAAATGTTTAAACATTTAATCAATAAGTTGATCGATAAGATAAAATTTAAAAATATGAGTTTGGGGATCTATCATCCCCAACACTCCTCCCCTTTTTAATAGCGGGCTTTCCTGAGGTCAACCTGCATCTTGACTGTAGCTCGCCGTTCTCGGATAGGCCACCGTCTGGGACGTGTTTCAGCTTGTTGTTGAGGTTTTTCTTATGGTGGGGTTGCCGGTAAGTTGAATGTGTCTAACAGGATGTCAAGAGGAATATTTACTTCGGTTGATGGGCGGTCTGGGGCTAACCGTTTGCGTAACTGATTCCGATGGCGTTTCCATCTGTCACTGCCTACCTCAACTTCGTACATGACTCGGCCAACTCTCCTGACCACTCGCGCTTCTGTCCATGGACTATGGGTCGGTCTGTAATCACGGGCAAACACAGGACATCCCACTTCGTACGTGGATCGCTTTTCAAACTTTTTCCGTTCTGGTTTCGATGCATTACTTGGATGCATCAGGCTGTGAATCGTCTTCAGTCTTCTTCCCATTAGGATCTCTGCTGGGGACTTTCGCTCCGGCAACGTCTCATTTGGTGTTGTTCGATACACGTATAAGAAATTTTGTAACGCGTCTGCTTGCGTCCCCTCCCCTTTTGTCTTAGCCAAGGCTCTTTTAAACGTATCCACAAACCTTTCTGCTTGCCCATTCGACTGCGGGTGGTATGGTGGCGAGCGCAAGTGCTTTATGGCTAGTCGTTGACAGAATGACTGAAATTGGCTGGAGGTGAATTGTGAACCATTGTCAGATACAATGGCATCTGGTACACCATTTCGGTAGAAAATTTCTGTTAGGATTTGTATTGTTTTAGTCGTCGTTGGCGGCATGATAGGGTTGATTTCAGGCCATTTCGAAAGGGCGTCGACTACAACTAGATACATGGTTCCGTTAATCGGGCATGCAAAGTCGACGTGTATCCTGGACCAAGGATGATCAGGTTGTGGCCATAAAACTGGTGGAACTTTGGCGTTCACTTTTGCTGCTTGCTGACACCGTGTGTGGTCCTCTGTCAATAGGGAGGTAATAACTGCATCTTCGCCGGCCGTATGGCGTTCGCTGGTTGACAACTCCGTCATTAGGTTCCTCGTATATGCTTCCAATTCATGTGGTTGTTGTCGTAGTTGGGGTTGTGATACCAGGTTGCATATGGTATTCAACGGGACATCAGCTAAATTTAAGTGATCAAACCAATCTAACCCAAGCAAATTTAGATCAGCTGGTGTTATGTAGCATACCCCAACAAATGCCAAATCACGGAAAGTAACTGTACATTCCATTTGTCCAAGCAGGTGAAGGTAATTACCACACGCAGTACGAGGCTTTTGCGTTGTACGCTGCAAGTTTGGGCTGCCCATTTTGGTCCAAGTTTTACGAGAGAGGATAGTGACATCTGATGCTATATCTATTTGCAATCTCGATGAATGCTCATTAATGTTAACAGTAATAAACTTTCTCTGACCTGGTGATGAGCTTTGACACGAAGATACTAAGCTCAATGAATTGATGCGGGATCTAGGAAGGGTCTTTTTGGTATTTCTGGATTGACTTGGAGCCTTCTTCCTCAGACAAAACCCATCCTTATGACCAATAACCTTACACTTCTTGCATCGATGTTGCTTAAATGGGCAGTTTCGAACGTAGTGCCTTGCACCACATTGCCAGCAAGGAGCAGGAGGAGTTGCTTTGGTCTGTCGTCTCGGGCTGGAGTGAGATGGACTGGATGAAGTGGGGACGTATTTGTTTTTGTAAGGTGTCTGTTGCACCGCTCCTACTTCAGATCGGTTAGACCCACCACTCTGGACCATAGAAGTGTCTCGCTGCAAATTAATGAGACGTTGATATTCATTAGCTATATCACTCATGGTGAGTTTCGGCTCTTGGTCCAAACGACTTAGTAGTCTTGTTCGTAAGTCACTAAACTTTTGGTGCTGCAGGCTGCAAATAAGTATCAGGGCTTTAAACTGATCTTCAGTCAAGGACTTTAACCGGAAGCGTTCGCATTCACGGTTGACGACGCCTACATGCGTAAGAAAATCATCATCTTCGTTCATAGTTAGCTTCAAGCAACGATAACGAGTATTAAACAGTGACGAATTATCGCCAAAATGTTGGCTTAATGTTTGAACTGTCTTCAAATGATCGATCACGTAGGTTCAACGGCAGGATCAGATTGCAATACTTGTCCAGCTCATTTGCACTCAGTTTACGAAGTAGCAGCCGCACTTTCCAAGAATCATCTTGATTGGCGAAATCAAATTTAAATAGATCTTCATAACGCCTGAACCACATCTCGAAAGTAACATTAGCATCAGGATCGTAATGAAATTCAGCTATGCTATTTGCGATGCCATCAACCGATGGTGCTGTGGTCGAACTAGACGTGCTTGGTTGTAAAGGAGGCGTAATCTTGGTCTCCATCAACATTTGCATCAATTTCAGCTGCTGCTCAAGTAACAGTTCAAGTTTTGCAGGGTCCATAATTCAAAAACCACCGTCGCCAATTTGCTATGATTTTTTATTCGCTTGAATGCTATTACTGATGCGTCTTACTCAACGAACGAAGGATCAGTGACTCAGCGACTCGATAGCTATTCTGGTTCGTTGTCCCCCAACTCTGCTAACTCGATCAAGAAGTCTGGGTAAGGTGTAAAAGTGTATTCTGCAGACACACAGCAGCTAACAAGTCAAGTCAAACACACAACTCACGCGTATTTATACAATATTTACAATCGATATTGTCATAGAAAAATTTTAAACACATTTAATCGATAGTTCATCAATTGACCTATTTGCACATCTAATTGATAGGTTCATAAACTGACTGCTATACAAACATTTAATCGATCAGTTCATCAATTGACCCCAATGCAAATGTTTAAACATTTAATCAATAAGTTGATCGATAAGATAAAATTTAAAAATATGAGTTTGGGGATCTATCATCCCCAACAGTTTCTTAAACTAAAAAACGCTCACTTCATTACTACTCAATGATATGATAGCAACAATAAAACGTAAAGACGATGCATTCGTAAATAATACTACTTTGTTATTATCCAAGCCTCTAAAATTATATATCATATCATTGTGACTTTCGCAAACGGTTTGATTATTACGATATTTTTGTCAAATTTTGTGAGTTCTCATAAGTTCACCAGTATTTGTGGCTTGTGACAAAAGAATCTTAAGTTTGGTTTGAAATTCAATAGGGACAAACAATCATCCATCACTTTGCTGATGAGTATCTTTAAAAAAAGAACTTAGACATAAAGCTCCTTGTAAATTAGCTTCAATTATTTTAAATTAAGGATAATTCTAATCTTATCGACATATTCAAAAAGAAAAATGTTTACTAATCTAGAATTAAAGTTATATCAGATAAGTTGTTTATGAATTCAGTTCGACTAGGTTAAAAATATTCTTACAAGGCGTTCACTAACACACTTCTACAAGGAAGACAAATTAGCTCGACTAAATTTTGTCGTGCAAACATACATCTTAACTGGCTATATAGAATTAAGCACATAAGTCATTTGTCGACAATTGGGGACGATCTCCAATTACGGTCCACTAAAGGGAAATGCAGAATTTCGAAGTCATCTATCTTACTGCATGAAACTAACCGTAACCACACAGTTTTAGACTTAACACTTAATATTATTCACAAAATCAAATCTATTCTGCTAAGCTGTTTAGATTTCTATGTTGACCATTTTCATATTTCTAGCTCTCGTTGTACTTTTCTCTTCGTTTTCCTCTTAATGTTTCTCCTACTTCCTAGATGTCCATAAATTCGTAAAATAGTAAGTCATTGTAAACTTTTCAACTAAAATTCGTAAATTTCATTTATTTAATTTCCATTATCTCGTATTTCATTAAATTGTGTATTTATTGATATTGAACCTCAGTTACCTGCTTTGAAAAAAAGCATACCATAATTGTTATGACTTTAAGTCCGGCTAGGTATCACGTGATTTATCCACCAATCGAAATACGACTTATACAATCTTCACACTGTACTAAACCAATGACGTCCGACCGGCATGAACAGCCTAGCGTCCTTATCGGTCCCATGTTCGCCTAGCCCGTCCACTTGAGTCTAGAACACCAATACCAACTTCCATCATGTGAACCATTTATTTCATACATACTGGGCTTATATATCAACTAAATAGACTGCAACGTACCATAAAATAGGAAATAACATTTACACACAATAAAGTCAAAAAGTAGCTGTGAATGTGGGAGACAGTAGTCAACAAGCTGAGTATAACTTATAAACAATAAATCGTACAGTAATAATCTATAGGTCAAAACGAAGCTTATAATAAGGGGAATATAGGTATACATAATCTAATTACTGAATAATTATACCATAAGAATATATAGATAATATTAGTCAATCAATAGGTCTCAGAAGTTACTTGTAATTCAATCTTCGCTAGAATATAACAATAATCTTTTGATATTTAGCAATTTTTAGTGTTTAACGTCTAATAGATCTGATGTTTTTTGTTTTCATTTATTAATTTATCCATTTACCTTACTCACGAATATGTAATACAACACTATGAATCTCACTTATTATCACTTGAATATCTTGTGATAATGAACAAATTTTATCATCATAATTATTTCATTTAAAGATGATACAACAAATCTCGTACGTGAAATTATCACGAATGGAATTTTCTTCTTCTTTTTATTTAACTGATATGATAATTGTTTTTGAAAATACTTTTTGAGTTATTCACTTATAACTGTTAATTTCAAGTTTTGGTTCTAAATCTAAAATCTTAAAACAGCAATATAATATCTGACTTATTTTTATTATCTTTAGTCGATTTCCTTCTGCTAAATTAGATATTTTAATTATATCTTCATAAGGTATGAAAAATTCAGTTGTTGTGTAGTGTGGGTTGCTTATATTCATATAAGTAGTATATAAAAGTGGTGAGGCATAGAATGTATTTCAGAAGAAGATCGATAAGGAAAAAACGGAAACGAAACGCAATTGATATGAAAATGCATGAACAAAGAAATCTGAGACAATGGACTGATATTTACAAAAGGAATAGTGAAGTTTGAGACGATAGATTGATATTTTGCAAATTAAGTATTTACTATATGGTTCTCAGATTTTAGTGATATGCTCTGTAGTTTCTTGTCAAGTACGTTTGATTGTCCACACTCGTGTTCTTGTTCACTGCAACTGAACATATGAAAGTTTGGTGGTAGTTCATTTTACTGAATGTTAATAACATTCGAAATCTTAATGAAGTGGAAGTTCGACGATACCTTATAACATATTAAAATAGACAATTCTTTGAAACATTTTACTTACCTTAAAATTTCTCTATTCATTATTTTATGCTGATCTCAAAATTAGTGAACTTTTTCTTTATTATAAATTACTGAAGATAATAATTAGACTGACATTGAAAGTATCTTAAGTAATGAAAGTGAATCATAACTTAAAAATGAATTAACGAATAGTCAATCAACATTTATTACTAAAATTTATCAATCAATTAAATGATTTTTTTCTATTTTCAAGGACATTTGGATTTCCAGGATGGTTTAATTGAATGTTTTTCATTAGTGAGATCAAGACTATGAGTTATTTTTATTTGAATGATTACATAAGAATTCTTGAATATGATAATGAACATCATGAAATAAATAATTCGTACCGGACGACTTTAAGTGTTTAGATAACTATTATTGAAAGCGAGTGGGTAAACACTTTTGATTGTACTACAGCTCTTTAATATATTTATTCAAAGTTAATATGTACATTATGTCTTTCTACAAGTATTTGAAGATTTATCACTCCCTATTCGCTCAAACATTACTAAGTATTACATGAATCGATCACTGAATGTTCCTTTTACCATGTCCTATAGTCCTTAGTGCTAAATGAGTTCTTACAATCAACTTTGCTATATGATTACCAAACTTATTGGCCAGTTAATTTAACCAACTAATTTCTACAACCAATTAATAGTAATCCAAATTACTTCATGCTAAAAACACTGATTAAGGTATTGGGTATCTCAAAAAGATTAATTCACTCAATGTGGTAGATACTAACGACAGCCAGTAAGCAAAAGTAAAGGTTCTTCAATATTTCTGACAGATTACCTTTAAAAGTCCGTAATCAGAATTTGTTTATTTTTCTTAGAACCAAGTACCATAAATTATTTCATAACTCTTTAGAACTAAAAAAAAAGACTAAATATCAAATTAATTGAATTTATACGACATAAAAATCAAATGCAAGAATGTAAGTAACAAAATTTATATTCAATAAATCGAACGCCTTATTTGACAAGATGTCTTTCTATAAAGATAATTTTTATTCGATGGTAAGAAATGCAACTATTGTAATATTTTAGCTCTTTGTCAGAAACTCTACACATGAACTATTATTATTAATTGGTCTAAATTTAGGAAAACTTGATAATTTAAAATACTTTTCACCATACAAATTTGAATCGGTTTAATAACAGTACTGAGGTTTTTTATTCAATATTATCTGTAGCCAATAAGAGACCGTTCAATTTCGGTTTTAAACATCAATCGAAAGATTGAAACAAAACAATACCAAATGAATTTAAACTTCATCTAACTACACAAGCAAATGGCTATCAAAACGCAGAGACTAAGTAGATAATGCGATGGCGTTTGAAGCGAACGGTACTGGGTTCGAGTCCTGGAATGAACATCAACTCTGGGATGCAGGTACATCCGGCTGACGAGTCCCCAATAGGACGAAACGCGCGTTCTGAATTCCACTACTAGCCACCATCCATCTTTGCTTATCTGAAGCATAGTTTGTAAATTAATTTTTGGAATATTATTCAAATAGTATTTGTAAAAGTTCAGAGTAAGTGACCATACATTTGCAATGGTGCAAATATCACAGCTTATAATGAATTTTTTCAAAGATCATAAACGTAATAGTTTCACGAAGCAAAATTATGTTCGTTGTTGTCATGACACAAATTGTGTCTTAAAACAACCAGATACTTTAGATATATCAATCATAAATTATTAGGTTGATTAGCATTTTGTTTACATACAAAAATCTCGATTTATCTTCTAATCGTTCTAGAATATACTGCTAAATACTGACACAGAACTGATTAAATTATACTGAATAATGTTGTCTAGGCTTCGCAATAATCACTATGATCAATGAAGTTAAATCCAGTACCCGAATCTACCTTAGGTATTGATTTTATGATGAGACAATAATTTATGAACAAATCAATCAGATTTAAAATAGTAGGTCTTGAATTTTGACGCGAAATTCATTCATTCATTTGGCTAAATAACATTTTGACATTATAACTGATGTTAGCTCATGATGAAAACCCTAAATTTAATTCCTAACTCTAATTTCCAACTACAAATCCAATCCTAATTCCCTATACTAGTTTATAACCCTGATTTAATTCTAGTAAAAAGGTAGATATTCTCAAGGTCACTTTAATGTCATTCAAAGGCCGGCCATAAATCATACTTTTCACTGAAAATAACTAATTGAAGACCATTCAAATGCTAACGAGGATGAAATATAATATAAACCGCTTTTATGGAAATACACATCTCGTTCAACAACCTAGCTAAAACACAGATACATGACATAAATATAAAATCTATCTACCTTACGTATTTTAGGTTTTATTACCTTTGGTATTGCCATACATTACCTAAATAGGTGAATTTAAAAATGAACTCATATAAAATTATTGGAAAAATATATCTGTAGACTTCTTATGATGTGTGTACGATATGCTAAAATCCTTGGCTAAAACTTAAAAAGTATTTTAAAAACCTTTAGTTTAAACATGTCAAGCTTTTATTCCATCAATTAAAATTATCTATTTTTATCACTGAATTATTCCATTCTACTAATCAACGATACAATTTTTTTATATTCTCCACAAATTTTGCAACATTCTATGTAATCTATGATTATTTAACGAATTGTGAAGATTCGTACGTAAGTTAAGTTAAATTAGTTCTTTCACAACCTAAATAACTTAAAAAAGTGGTAGAGATTTTGATAATCCTACAATTTTCTTTAAAGGAACAACAGCACTTTTTTTGAATAATGAATGAATAACAGATAAACTTAATATTGAAATAATCATCCAACTATTTTTAAATGCTAGTATGGGGCTTGTGGAGATTATTAAGTTTTTGATTGAGATCATGAACCGATTGATGTTAGACCACCTTTGGAAACCTGGAAACACTGGATGGCCGTTTTGTCCTATTGTGGGACTCCTCAGCAGTGCGCATCCACGATTCCGCTCGCAGGATTCGAATCCAGGGCATTCTTTCTCGATTGTAATGATTGTAATGATTGTAATCTATTAGGTTGGTTTCTAGATTTGAATGCACTTTTGAAATATTGTAACATAGTTTTTACTAAAATCATTAGTATCAAATAATTAGATTGATGATGTAATTATTGTCTTACAAGAACCCTAGGAGAAATACAATAGTTTTAATAAAATGTTATATATATATATATATATATATATATATATATATATATATATATATATATATATATATATACTTTCCGATTCCTAATGTCAAACTTCATTATTCCTTATTATTGATTTTATGAAATGAACAGAAAATGATTTACTTTTGAAACTGTAAAATTCATAGAATCATATAAAATAATTATAAATTAATAATTATAAAATCATGTTTATTGGTAATTGGTCAACTTTACAATATAAATTATTAGCTTAATTAAAAGAAATAAAAAGGGGTTCATTTGTGCACAAAAATTTACGTTACGTATTTTATTTTGTTTTTTTTGTTTTTTTTTGTTTTGTTTTTGTTTCTTTTTTCTTGTTAAATTTGAGAACCGATTGTTTTGAAGACATAAGTCAATATTTTACTCATTGTTTCTTTATTTTGTTCATCATTGATGTAATTGTTAAAAAATTCAATGAATATTGGCAGTGAATCCTAAAAATAACAAATGAAATACAAATTATTTAGTATATATATATATATATAATATAATGAAAACTTTACAATTAAAGTGTTCAATATGACACATTAATTTATTGTATTCAATTATTTAATGAATTTATATTGACAATAGTATTTAATCAATAAATTCACAATCAAAGAGGATCAATTAAAGTAGATATTATGAGATGGTGAAGATTTTTTTTGTAGCTCAGGTGAATGATTTTGATGGAGTTTTTAATCTCTGATCTGAACCAAACCATCCAGATCAGAGAATGAAACTCCATCAAAAGTAGATATTATTTTTATAATTAAATCTTATCGGTTTACAAGGTATTTATTAGAAACAATTATGATTGTAATTTAATTGTAAAATCTATAATTAATCTATCCTACTAAACAGAATAAATTATTAAGTTCATTTTACTGTTGATTATAAAGTAAAAGAAAATTTTAAAATGTTAGATTTAATAAAATTCTATTTGTAAAGTGTAGCAAATATTTATGATTTATTTGAATTGTATGGAAGCACTAAACATATTTGATATGATTTAATCTTAACTTAAAGATTCTTTAGATATTTCTTAAAATTAATGTACCTCATCAGAACAGGGATAAGTACTAGATAACTGTTTTAAAACAGTTAACGTTTATATAGTGATAAACAGTTTATTTCATATGAAGTTAGTGTGCAGAAAACGACGAAGAAACAAATGTTTATTACTCTCTAGTACTGACTTCAGGTTAACTAATGTTGAAGTATTTATATTACTCAAGGTAAACGGATGTGATACTACCTGAGCAAAAATCTAAAATATGGAGAAAAAAAACATTTTTCTAGGGAATAGTAGCTTCCTACAACGGCTATAATCATTAATTTAATAGTTCGCTAGTGCTTAATGGTAATACTCATCGTACAAATAAACTATATGGAAAACTAAAAATGGTTTAAATTGAATTGGCAATTCGTGAAATGCACTTACTAGAAATATTTGTTCGTTAACTTGACGATTTCTGTGCATATAAGCTTCATCCATGCAAAGTTTATCTAATTCACACTTATTTGCTGCAGCTTTAATTATCGGCACAAGAGCCCCAACAAAAGTTCTTGCATAGTACTTGAGCCCTTCTGATTGTGCAAAATTACTAACATCAAGTCCTTGAAGTCTTGAAAATTTACAAATATATTCTGGTTTAGCCTTCAGAAAGCTAATATATTCAAAAATAAACACAAATAGACCGATAAACATAATTGTTATATTTACCATTCATACACTTTTAAGCCTAGTTCTTCCTGATGTGCTTCTGTGTCCACATGCGGTACTAATTCAGTAATCAAATGATCTACTTGAGATTGGGTAACAGCGGTCATATTATGATTTTTTCTGAAGTATAAATTTTTCACAGATGAATATTTTTTCGCCTATTTATTATTAATGTCTCTGACCTTAGATGATAAACACCAATGAAATTTATATCATTCAGTTCAATTTTAACTATCAGTGCAATTAAAGTTATAGTGTAATTTTATTTATCAATATATATATATATATATATATATATATATATATATATATATATATATATATATATATATATTGATTAATAAAATTACACTATAACTCTAATTGCACTGACCATCCGATTGTCATTAAATGAACAAACACACATACATGTTTCATAGAGGGTACTTAATTATACATTGGATGTGACTAATTTGAGTAGACTTTCAACTGTTTATGGGATGGGATCTAGGAAATGTATATCAAAAAAGGACAAAAATTGTAAGAAACTCATGAAATTAACAAGAGTATATTTGTGTTCATTATCACATTCATGTAAAAATGTCAGTTTAGGTCATATTCACTACAAATTGACATCATCAAGAGAATCAGTGATCCTCGATTTCTTAATAATTCTCTAGTTAAATTCATTTTGTAATGAAAATATCTACAGTTAATCAAAATACTTGTACTCATTGAACTTTTTTGTATGGTTTTATAAATCTGTAGACGACTAAGTATTTTAATGATCTATTCTTCGGTCTACCATTCAGTAGCTGAAATATTTTGTAGTTTCTAAACCTATTGTATTATTATGAGGAAAGTTCAGAAAATATTTCACTAGTTGTATGTTAAAACTTACTTTTAACCAAATACTCGTAACATACCTTCGCTAACTTTATTTAATAATTTATAAGTGCCAAGGCAGGTTTATTGAAAGAACAAAAAGACTAACGTCCTTGTGTTTTACTACATCGTATTCCAAAGAGCCTAAGTATGTAAGGGTAAAACAGTCTTCGAAGTTCGGTCGTGAGTCAGCTACGGGAAATAAGACACAAAAGTGAATAAAAGGAGAGCATCTAGAACAAAAAATTACGACTCTAACTGAAATTCGCGAAAGCCATAAAACAAGAAGGATAAAACCTGACTTTTGTATCTACAAGCCAGTGGTTAACTGTCAGCCTTAGTAAAAGTAAAGGTAGCGTCATTTAAATTCATCCATCATTTGATTATGATTAGTGTACAGTGAATTCAGTTTTGAATGTTCTATTTTGTTTATCATTTTTATATGTTCTTGACTGGCCATTTTCTAATTGTATAACCAAGTCATCTCCAACATTCTAGAACTATCAACTTCACTTCACTTTCATATTCGAAACAATTTAATATTATCCCACAAACAATTCATTTCTTAGTTTACAAGCATGTTTACATATCGAAAGAACTGAACTCAGTAATTTATATGAACCTGAAGATAAAGCAACTAAACATAATAGTTTCATTTTATTCTACAAACATTGACTTAAACTTACTTTCGGATATCATTTCAAAAGTCACAACTTGTTTAGAACATTATAAATGACTATGATAAAAATAATTTTAACTAAATTTGTTGTACATATTATATTACAAGCACAAGGTTTAAACTTGTGTTAATTTTATTCGGTTATTTATTTATTTACTCCCTAAATAAGCTACTTGAATTAAGCCATAAAGTCCTGGTTTCTATTCGTTGGGATATTATAAATATATCATTTTATTATTAATGGCTTTTCATCGGTTTATCATTACAATATGTCAGCACAGATTCTTGAATCACTGACCTAGAAACAGACCATTTATTTCCTATTTCAATTACTTCAAGTATAGTCCAGTAAAAGTTAGAATAAATTGATCATTTCTGAAATATCCAACGAACACGTATTTTCAAGGCATTTGTATAGTGTACTCCACAAAATACAGTATGGCCTTACAAGCAATACAAAAGACTTTTTGTCAATTCCTGATACCAAATTTATTTATCCAAAACTAACTTCTGTATTTCTTTCACTATATTCCTTCTCTATATCCAACTTTAATTAATGTAAATCCATTTAATTCTTCTAATGATATTAGATGTATTTTCTAAATATGAGTAAGACTTTTTCTCCCTTATCAATAACATTTATTTATATACTAAATTATGTGTTCCACCATTTTTATTGCATTCGGTATCTATCAATGCACGATTTATCATTTTTACTCATTTATCTTTTCGACTGCGTTTCAACATAACTCGCGTTTCGATACCATATTTTATGATTAAACTCTGAAGAAATCATACTCTTAGTAAACTTTAGAATTTTCTGGAAACTGTCCACAAATCCTTTTCTATAAATTTTAAACACTAACTGCATTTGGGTGAAGCTTAAATTCATTTAGCATTGTTTGTTTGAATCTTCCCATTGATTTTTAAGACTGCGATTGACCAGTCTCTTATTGGCATATGTACATCCTGTGCAGATTGCCTTAATATTGCCTTAATTCACAAGCATTATAAAAAAAGACGAATGGTCGTTACCAGTGGAATTCAGAACACGCATTTCGTCCTGTTAGGGACTCGTCAGCAGGGTTTACCTGCATTGCGGTTGACTATGATCACCACTACAGGAAGATTAAGTGCCAGTTAACCGATAAGATCCACGTAAGCCAAATATCAGAAGGCAGTTGATGGCTGTAGTCGAGATGTATTTGTTGGCGATCTCATGGTATCGAAAGAATGCCAAGATCGTGCCAAAGGATTATGAGTGTGGTTACTGAGCGTAACCGAATCCGTGCAAGGCCACAATCAACGGAAGAATATATGTTTTTTGGTATAGTTAAACAAACAAGTATGGTAAAACAATCCCTGGTACAATTGGCTATAATAATAATTGTTTCCATAACACCAATCGCGTTCTCTTGATAAAAGTAGGTCACTACATGCCAATAAGAGACCGGTCAATCGCAGTCCTAAGCATCAATGTGATGTTTCAAACTAATTGCATATATTTCTAATTGTATTATTTTTACTAGTAAACTCGCTAAAAACAAAAAGGATTTGCTATCTGATGCTCTTATTTAATCACCTAAACAGTTATTAAGATTACAATTAATAAATATGCTTATCATATTCAATACTTAACTTTTTGGATTATTAATTTGGATCTAAAACTGTTAAACCTCAAGAGAATTTATTGAAAAGAATATTCTTCGTCTATATATATCTGTGTTTTTTAACGTCTTTCCTGTTCAGCATGTATTCACTTAAGAAGCATCACAATGCTCGTCTTGTTAATATTTTGCAAAAGTGCTTTGATAAATATAATTTCGAGCTTTTTTATTTATTCCTTTGCTTTTTAGTAGAGTAGGATACATGTCAAATCCGCCTGGCGTCTTTCCAAGGGCTACTATCGTTCCTAAGTCCGGATGAACGAAGAGAGTTGGGCATGGGGTTAACGGCCCCATCTCATGGACGAAGGATCATAAAAGCCTCCTTCAAAACAAAGAAAGAGGGCATTATAATGAAAGTCATCCAATGCTGTGCACCTACCAACGACAACATTGAAGACATTAATGATCAATTCTACGATAGGCTGCAGTCAATCATCGAGAAGTGCCCAACAAAGGACTTGACCATTCTGATGGGAGATTTAAATGTCAATGTTGGAATGGACAACCCCGAATATGAAGACATCATGGGACTGGGAGAAAGGAATAAAAATGGTGAGAGATTCGCAAACCTATGTGCCTTCAATAAACTGGTCATAGGCGGCCCCATATTCCCACATAAACGCATTCACAAAACCACATGGACTTCACCGGATCACACCACGCAAAACCAAATCGACTATATTTGCATCAACAAAACGTTCAGGAGGACTATAGAGGACGTGAGAACCAAGAGAGGAGCTGATATGGCATCAGATCATCACTTGCTGGTCGCCAAGATGAAATTGGAACTCAAGAAGCACTGGACAATGGGGTGGACAACATCACGAAAGTTAAGTACGGGTTTTTTTCGGGATACTGACAAACTCAACAAATTCAAGATAGCCCTAAGCAATAAGTTCCAGGCCTTTCATGATCTACTCAATGGAGAATGAACTACTATGGAGAGCAACTGGAAAGGGATAAAAGAGGCAAGCACTTCAATATGTTATGAGGTTCTGGGCCACGAGAAGCACCATCACAAGGAATGGATCACTGTTGATACACTGGATAAGATTCAAGAAAGGAGGAAGCAGAAGAAGGCAATCAATACCAGCCAAACAAGAGCAGAGAAAGCCAAGGCACAAGCTGAATACACAGAAGTAAACAAGCAAGTAAAGAGGAGCATCAGAACTGACAAACGTAAATATGTGGAAGATTTAGCAAAGCCGGCGGAAAAGGCTGCAAGAGAAGGAAACGTGAGAAAACTGTATGACATAACAAAGAAACTCTCTGGAAATCGTCGCAAACCAGAACGACCAGTGAAAAGCAAGGAAGGCGAGGTAATCACCAACATTGAAGAGCAACAAAACAGGTGGGTAGAACACTTCAAAGAACTCTTGAATCGACCAGCTCCACTGAACCCACCCAACATCGAAGCAGCACCCACGGACCTCCCAATCAACGTTGGCCCACCAACAATTGAAGAAATCAGCATGGACATCAAACAAATCAAGAGTGGCAAAGCGGCAGGACCGGATAACATTCCAGCAGAGGCACTAAAAGCAGACGTAGTGGCAACTGCAAGGATACTCCACTTTCTCTTTAATAAGATTTGGGATGAGGAACAAGTACCAACAGACTGGAAAAATGGACTTCTGGTCAAAATACCAAATAAGGGCAATCTCAGCAACTGTGGCAACTACAGGGGCATCACTCTTCTCTCAATACCGGGAAAAGTCTTCAACAGGGTATTGTTAAACAGAATGAGGTACTCCGTAGACGACCAACTTCGAGAACAACAGGCAGGATTCCGTAAGGATAGATCGTGTCCAGACCAAATCGCAGCTCTACGGATCATTGTGGAACAATCAATTGAATGGAATTCATCACTCTACATCAACCTCATTGACTACGAGAAAGCAGTTGATAGCGTGGACAGAACAACATTATGGAAGCTACTTCGACATTGCGGCGTACCTCAGAAGATAGTCAATATCATACGGAATTGCTGTGATGGATTAAACTGCAAAATCGTGCATGGAGGACAGTTGATAGACTCG